CTATGCTGTTCAGGGCCTTAAAACCAGATTGAAACGTCATTGTTGCTAGAGTCATTGAGATGCATATAATTTTCTATACATATGTTTTATCAAAAATGTTAGAAAGGAAAATTTTATGCAGCTTCAGTCCTTTTGAAATGCTCACGTTTCAATCTGGTTTTAAGGCCCTGAACAGCATAGAAAGTGTATTTTTAAAGGTTTTTAATGATCTTATATTAGCTACAGTTCAGGAGGAGACTGCAGGTCTTTTGCTTTTAGATCTGACAGCTGCCTTTGATACTGTTCACCACATGATCCTGACCTCAGGCTGGAACAAAGTGGCATTAAAGGCTCTGCACTAAACTGGTCCAGGTCTTACCTGTCTGACAGGAGTTTCTGCATAAGCCCTGGAGAATTTTGTCTCCTCCTCTACATCCCTTCATCTATCTATCCTTTATCTTTACCCGCTTTGTCCTTTTCGAGTTATGGGGATCATTGATGCCAATATCCAGCAGTCACTGTGCGAGAGGCGGGGTACACCCTGGACGGGTCGCAGGTCCATCACAGGGACACATAGAGACAAACGAGACAAACAACCATTCACACTTAGGGACAATTAATTTAGAGTTATTAATCAACCTCTACGTGGAATTCCTCAAGGAACTATTCTTAAATCCATATTATTTTCCACTTATATGCTCCCTTCAGGCTCTGTTTTTTTATAAAATTTAACATTTCTATGCAGATGACACTCTGGTTTAGTTTCACTTGAAGCAAAATAATTCTGTTTCACTGAATCGCCAGCTTGAGTGCCTCTCTGAGGTAAAAGCTTGGATGGCTTCAAACCTCCTCAATTTTAATGAGGATAAAACTGACATCATTATTTTTTGTCCAGGTGAAAACCAAAGTGCATCTCCTACAGATCTGGTTAGTTTGGGGCCAACTGTAAAACCTTAACCTTAGTGGTAATTGATTCAAATTTTTAACTTTGAGAAATAGATTAGTTCAGCTGTAAAACATCCTTTTTTAAATTGAGCCTTTTATCTGAAGTGAAATCATTTTTATCCTTTAAAGACTTTGAACGGCTGATTCATGCTTTTATTACCTCCCAATTCGACTACTTCTGTGTTAGCCAGGCCAGCCTCATGTCTGCAGCTGGTCCAGAACGCTGCAGCTCATTTTTTAACACAAAGAAGCATGAACAGATATTTATGCTGCATCCCTTCATTGGCTCCCTGTTTGTTTTAGGAATGATTTTAAAGTTTTCATCTTGACATATAAGGCCCTAACTGGACAGGCTCCTGCAGCCCTCTGTGCCCTCTAGATCCCTCAGATCAAATGATCACTTACTTTGGATTGTCTCACGCTCAAGGACGGAGGTGATCAGGTCTTTTCAACTGAAGTTTTGTGGAACCAGCTGCCTCTGTCATATCAGACAGGCTTCAACACTTGGTGTTTTTAAGAGTCATCTTAAAGCACATTTCTACTCATCAGCTTTTAATACAGCAAGAGAACCGACTTTTTTATTTGCTTAATTATTCATTGCCTCTTTTATTGTTTTTTATTTGTGTATTTTGTTTTTAAAGCTTGTATGTTTTTTCGGCCTCCAGTTTTTGTATTGTCTTTTTACAACTTGTATTATGTGATTTGATTTTATATATATTATACAGTGTATATGTATATATATATATATATATATATATATATATATATATATATATATATATATTGTATATACT